CCTGCAATGGCCCCTCAACGGCCCTGCAACGGCAACGCCTCGTTACCGGCAATGGCCCTGCAGCGGCCCCACAACGGCGCCTCAATGGTCCCTTAACGGCGCCTCAAGGCCCCTTGAAGGCCCCTTAATGGCAGCTGCCCCTCAACAGCCCCGCAATAGCACCTCAACGGCCCCTTAATGGCAACGGCCTCTTAAGGGCAACATTAAGGCAACTGCCCCTCGACAGTCAGTGGCCCCTCAACAGCAACAGGCCCAAGGGCAAGAGGCCCCCAGCCAGCAGCGCCCACCCCAGGGGCAGCAGCGCCCATGGCGGGCAATGGTGCCTCAACAACAGCGGGCGAACAAGCAGCCCCGCAGCCGCTCACCCTCCTCGGCGGGGCTCCAGCGCGCCCCAAAACGGGCACCTCCACGGTCAGGCATCCCCCAAGCAGGCGCCAGTGCTGCCGGTGTCCCCAGGGCCCCCAGTGTAAAAATGCAGTAAAAAATTGGGGGTTCATCTGCCTGCTGCATCCTTGGGCAGTGCTGCTCCGACGAGATGATCCGCTCTGGGAATACAGAGCGCCCGTGTGCTGGACAGAGGGGCAGTGAGCCCAGGTGGCACCAGGGCAGGAAGCTCCGTGCCACCCCGTTCCACAGGCAGCCTGCCAGGGCAGTCGTTTCCAGAGAAGCCGAGGGATAACCCGCTGATACCGCGGGGTTTACAGAGGCTCGGGAGCTGGACGCACAAACCCCGGTCACTGCAGGCGCGAAGTGCCAAAGTCCTCTCGCTCCGCGGAGCCGCGTCGCCACGTGGCTCTCGGGAGGCAGCCGGGGCTGCGGAGCGCCAGGCACGCGGGGCCGAGTGCCACCGGCCCCGCCGGTAAACGCTGCGGAGAGAGCCCTGCCTGGCTGCCCGCATTAACATATTTTCTGTTGTTCCGTTCCCTCATTTGATGTTCCAGGACATTTCCATAGAAACCGGATCTTTGTTCCTGAGCAGTCCAGTTTCCAATAACTACAGAGTGCATTAGAGCGAGGGCAGCTGCCCCCGGCTCTGCCGCGCGCACGTCGGCGCGGCCGCGGGCTGCTGGCAGGTCGGAGCCGCAGCCTCCGCACATCCCTGCTTGGGAACGGAGCGAATTCCAGAGCTGCAGAGCGCGGCAAGAGGGCCCTGGCTGCTCGGAGGGTGCCGGCTGCTCTCCCTCCTCCAGCGCTGCTCCGGCAGCCCGGGCACCGGCCTCTTATCCCAGCTGATGGATAGTGGGAACGCTGACCTGGCGATCCCCTCCACAGTCTGCTCTGGGCATTAATCCAGCAGCACATGGCTCTGCAAGGGAGGAAATCCCGGACTTGGGAGAAATTCAGCCTTTTCTGGAGTTTACCTTTTGCCCGGGCCCCTGGGAGTAACTAAGCAAACTGCTCTGGAGGAAACAGAGGTCTATTTGGAGTTTGCTGCCTTTTAATGTTAATTTGCCTGCTAAATAAACTGTTAACAGATCTGCTGACAGCCCAAATGCTACTGAACTGTGACAACAGGGCTGGCTGGCACAGCGGTGCCGTGACGCTGTAAACGGGCTGCAGACAGAGCCTGGGATCCCGGCCGGCCAGAGCCGGGTGCCCCTGAGGCCGAGGCCACCAACTCCCGCTGGCAACCGCTGGTGTCGGCCTGAGCCTCGGGCTGCTGCCCTCAGCCCCGGGGCTGGGTTTGCGCCTGGCCGCGGGCACGGCGGCGGTGCTGCTCCCCGAGAGGCCTCGCTGGCTGCCGCCTGGCACCAGATGGCACCATGACATCGGATTTAGCGCCCACGGTCTGCCTGGGTGCCCCAGAGAGCCGGGCAAGGCCTGGGCAGGAGCCTGTCCCGTCCCGCACCAGCAGCCACCCAGGGCTGGGTGGTTCGAGGCTCTTAGAACCGAGACCAGCCAAACGCTCCGTGGGGAAAGGGGCAGGTGCCGCTGAGCTGATTGCACAAAGCACCCTGAATCGGGGAATATTCTCTGCTTCACAGCAGGTTTCTCCTGTGCTTGTACCTGCACGCACCCCGTCTAGCTGGGGACAGGGCAGTGTGACAGCGTGGCAATGTTCATCAAAGCTGCATGGCCCGACGCAGTGTGGCCTCGGGTCAGGTTTTTTTTTGACTCCCTTATGCAATTACACCAACACGGCAGGCTCTGAACCTGGACCTGGCTTCAAACCGCAGTGCAATGTGCTGATGTCTCGGGAAAGCTCCGGTTGCGTTCCGAGTCATCCCGTATGGCTCGTACACAGCTCTGCAGCGCCGAGTTCCTCACTGTCAGATTTATTTATGACAGCAGGTCCTACAGGGTTGCACAGGCGATTAAGGCAGGCTAATAAACAATCGTAGTGAAAGCCTCAAGGGCTCGTGGAAGCCCGTGTAGGAGCTCCATCGGGTATCAGCAGTGCCTCCGGTCTCCAAGGGCAGCGACAGCCGCTTCGCTCCCATGACCCAGATGGCTCTGCATGTCCGCTGCCCAAGCTGGAGAGGTGCCAAGTTCCCCAAGGGCCGAGGGACATCACGGCTGTGCCGTGCCGAGCGCTCGCGCTGCTCTGATCTCTGTAAGGCTTCTCTGATCCGGGCTGAGAGGGTCTATACATACACTGACACCAAAGGGACCTGCCAGCTGTGCCCACGGAGAGGGCCGCCTGGGCTGCTTGACCAGCTCTGCGTTGTGCTGGGGCAGGCAGGTGAATTCCTGCCTGATCCTCAGTTTTGCTACTGCAAAAATGGCACTGGAGCCATTGACCTGTCCCTTGGTTTATGAGCGAGGCTGAGCAAAGCAGCAGACCCTTCCCATGCAGAGGAGCTGGCAAAAGCACGGAGTCCCTAGGGAGCTGCTCAGGTGCCCGATTCAGGAAAAGCCTCCGGCCGGCCGAGCCAGAAGGACAGTGGCTGGCGGGGGTGGCTGCTCTCTGCACTTCAGTTCATCAGCAGCTCTTTCCACACCCCCTTGTCTCTGGGGAACAACAGAGCTATGCAAAGCAACAGGAGCTATTACTATTTTCTTACTCTCCTTTGGGGAGAAGTTCACTGAAATAAGCACAAGGAAAATGTCTCTCTCAACCTCATCGGTTTTCTTTCTAGCAAATGCTGCTTCTCAACGGATTAAGGATGAGCGGGATGCAAGTGGCCCCAGGTTTCTGAAGGCTGGAGAGCTTAAGCAGGGGCACGTTGATCTAGCCTTAATGTGATTAAGTTACATCTCTCAGTATCATGCTAATTAAATTAAATTCCCCGTTGCTGACTCTGCGGCTTGAATGGAATTGCCCAAAGTTGTTTCAAGACCGCAATTCGCTTCTCTGCGTTTCATTGCATGGAAGAGCAGGTAGGATGAAAGCAATCTGCTAATAAATAATCACATGGGTTAGAGACCTCTTCCAACTCAGTGGGAATTCAAGTTTCAGTCTGGTTTGAACTAGATTTAAACTACAAATTTTAAATCTATAGTGATTTTTGCTTTGAGTAAGGAAAGTAACTGGAAAAGCGAAGGTGAGCTGCTGGAGGGAGAGTGCAGAGCCGGCAAGCAAGGAAGGCAGGACCAGCTTCTGCAAATGGCCAAGCTACGGCAGCAGCGAGGCCATCCACCACTATGGCAAAGCCACCCGCCGCCGTGGCAAAGCCACTTGACACCATGGCAAAGCCACCCGCCCACACGACAAAGCCCCCCCCCGCCACAGCAGCACGTTTCCACATGGTCCTGAGGAGCTTGGGACACTCAGATCCGCATTTACAATAGCCGGGCGAAAGAAGGGCCAGCCGTAGGAGGAGACGTTACTCTGGGGCACCAGCTCTCTTTGCTGTCATTCGTGCCCTTAAGGTGTTCTTCGGCCAGGCGGGATGGCATGTGGCTTCCAGCCACACTCCTGTGACAGACCCGTGGGCAGAGGGGAGCCCTCCTGTTGTCACTAGAAGGGAGGACACGAAGGCCCCGGCTGCCACAGCCCCACGCTCACACCCAGCCCCTTCTTGAACCTCCTCATTAAAGGCATTAAAAGGGCAGCAGCTGAAATCCCTCTCCTTGTGAAGCCCAGGAGCGGCACAAATGCCACCGAAACCCGCCGGGATTACCTTGTCCCTCACCCGCGCACTGGGGAGCAAGCGGCACCGCAGAGCCCCACGGGGCCACGTGCGCACGGACCGCGCAGAGCAGGATGCCCTGGGCCCTGTGCCGGGGCTGGCACGGGACGAGCTCCACAGTGCCCGGCTGAGCGGCTCGGCCCGGCTCTGCCTACCCAGGCCAGGGGTGCCCGAAGGAGGAGATGGGTTTTTAACGAGGCGCTTCCAGCACGTCTTTGTGCCCCTGCCTGAAGGCCCCAAGTGCCCTGAGGAGGTTCCCCTGGTTGGCCCTGGGCAAGCAGAGCTGGTGGCAGTGCAGGTGTCCCCGGAGCACGAGGCGACTGTGTCACACCGTCACAGCAACCCGCTCCCTGCTCCGGGAACCGCCACCCGCTTTCATCTCCTTTGTAGATTCTTTTAATTACAGATGAGAGGTGCCAGCGTGGCCGGGGTGCTGGCAGGAGCAGCGGGCAGTGCGTGGGCAGGGCGAGGGCTCCGTTAGCCCCG